CTCTCATCGTTGTTGATTATGGACAGGTAAAGTAGTTAATTATTTTATAGAGTTCATCTGGTTGTATAACTGATTTATTTATGTTTTATAGTTGGAGCTTCGGATTCTTGCACATCTTGTAAACTGTAAGAGCATGTTGGATGCGTTTGAAGTTGGTGGAGATTTTCATTCAAGAACTGCAATGAATATGTATCCTTACATCTGTGAAGCCATTGAAAGTAAACAAGTTCTTGTAGAATGGCATCCTCAACCTGGTCAAGAAACTCCACCTGTTCCTCTTCTAAAGGTAAGCCAAGAGTTATATTTTGTCATTATCAGTAGGTGTTTTTCTGTATTAATAGTGTTTTGTTTATGATTAGGATATTTTTGCTTCTGAAAGGAGAAAAGCAAAGATGCTTAATTTTTCCATTGCGTATGGGAAAACTACTATTGGGCTGTCGCGTGATTGGAAGGTTTCGGTTAATGAAGCAAGAGAAACGGTTGCGCAATGGTATGGAGGTAGAGAAGAAGTGTTAAGGTGGCAAGAAGCACGTAAAAAGGAAGCTCACAGAATTGGATGTGTATATACATGGTTGGGACGTGCACACACTTTTCTGTCTACCAAAAATGCCCATCCATCTCACAGAGGTAACTTTGAGCGTGCTGCCATTAATACCCCCCCTCGGTCCAGGTTTATTTTCTAACATAACAGCCTAATTTAAAAAAAATGGAAGCGAGTAAATTTGATATAAAAAAATATATATTATGAACAGGGAAGTGATGCTGAAGTTGCTATGTGTGCCATGTTGGAAATATCTAAGAACGCTCATTTGAGAGAACTTGGGTGGAAGCTACTTCTACAAGTTTGCTTTTGTTTTTTATATTTTAAGAAAGATCTAAAATAAACGGATAAATGAGATTTGGAACACACATACACAGGTTCATGATGAAGTGATATTGGAAGGGCCAACAGAGTAGGCAGAAATTGCGAAGAAGATAGTGGTGGATTGTATGTCAAAGCCTTTTGATAGGAAGAACATTCTTAAAGTTGGGCTATCATTTGATGCTAAATTTGCCAAAAACTGGTACTCTGCCAAATAGACTAGAGTCATGCCACCTGTCCTCGTATGTTTTAGAGTTTAGAGTGGAATCTGACTATGCTCTGTGAATTGTGGTGATGATATTGATTGATGACAAAATATGTGATGGAAGTTTTGACTACATGTGTTAAACGTGGGGGAACGCATAAAAAAACATAGAAACGTCTACATATATTCCATAAGTATTAAAAAAATATTTATGGGTATTGGTATTATTGAAATGTGAAGAAGAGACAATGAAATCGATAAATATCTATAATATTTAAAGTACCTCTTTGTACACAACACTTTTTGTTTTATTAGTTGAACAACCTTCCTCATCACATATAAGTACCTTCAACCCTTTTTTGCTTGTTACATGGGAAACAACTACATATAACTGACCATGAGTGAAGACAGGTCTACCCAAATATAATCCAACATTTAATAATGACTGTCCTTGACTTTTGTTAATGGTCATAGCGAAACAAACAACTATGGGGAATTGCCTCTGCTGAAAACGGAATGAAATTTTTTTATCAGACGGGGTTAACTTCATCTGAGATATATAAGTAGTCTCGTTGAAAAATCTACCAGACATGATTCGTTCTTCGATGACGTGTATTCCAAGCCTTACGATCTGTAATCTTGTACCATTGCATAGTCCTTTGGTTTGGTCGATATTACGAAGCAACATCACCGGAACACCTTTTTTTAGTATAAGCTTATGTTTGGGAATTCCAGAAGCCTTAAAACCATTCAACACATCTGGAGAGTATATTGATTCCTCAAATGAATCTTGTTCTTCGGTCTCACATATCGAATCAGAACTCAGATAAGTTTTCCCTTCGTCTTTCATCAATTCTAAGATGTAGTCGTTGATAGCATCGACTTCTTCGTTTGTAGGGACCAAAATAGCTGTATCTTGAAAATAAGATGCATCATCAAGATGGTTCTGAAAGGATGAATAAATAGAGGATATAATTGAATGAATATGGTCACCCGTAGAGGGAACGATAACATCTTCTGGAAATTCAACTTCAACTTTACCATCATTAGGACCACCGATAGTACCTTCACCAATTTTAAGGATCCATTCAGCAAATGATTTTGTCTCTTCGAAATCATTGTTTGGACAACTGGCCTGAAGCCTCATGTTTACAGTCAAACGTAAAACCGTACATTCACGCCATAATCTTGATGAACGCAATGATGCCTGGACAATATCTGAACGATTTCCTCTTTGTATTATTGGAAGAATCTGACGAAAGTCACCTCCAAATACAATGGTCTTGCCTCCAAATGGTTTATCCTTGCCAATGGTATGATAACGTCTCTAAGTGTCATATCAACTACTTCGAAACAATGACGGTGCATCATTGGGGCTTCATCCCAAATTATAAGTCTCGCTTTATTCAACAGGGCAGCTACATCATTACCTGGCGTAATAGAACAAAACGAATCCTCATTCAGGTTAATTGGTATATGAAATCTTGAATGCGCTGTCCTACCATCAGCGAGCAACAGTGTTGCAATTCCGCTTGAAGCAACGTTGACAACAATTTCACCTTTAGATCTAATAGCAGCAGACAATGTCTTCCAAACAAATGTTTTTCCTGTTCCTCCATAACCAAAAAGGAAAAAGACACCACCTTTTCTTATTGCTAACTGCATTCATAATTGTATCATAAACGTTTTTTTGCTCGACATTTAATTTGGAATGCAGTTGTTGATGTTCAACTTCAAGACTTGACGGATCATAATTAAGCTCGTCTTGAATTAACATATTGGAAGAATCTTGAATATATTTGTGATCAGGTAATGATATATTGGCTATTTGCTTAAGACTCAAGCCAGAGCTCAATAAAGATTTCTCAATGTATGAAAATGTAAGGTGGTAAATTGCTTCCGGTTTTAGCTTCTCGCATGAAAACATAAAAAAATTACGAAATTATTTATTTATGGTAAAAAATTAAAGTTGGAACGATTTTGTGTAAATGGGTTAGTTTATTTAAAAATGTACCTTTCACACCTATTTTTTGTTCACAAATGTGAACGACATCATCAGAAAGAAAATTATAGGTCTCTTTAAAAACATAATGAGGTCGGGATTGTAACATCCATCTCTCGAGGTATTATTTAGATTATGTAGCTTAATATTAGCTTTGGGCTAACACTTGGACAATGGACCTTTAGGGGTGGACCTTAGCAAAAATGGGCCAAGAAGTTGGGCTGCCCATAAGTCGTACACTGGGAGTAACCTGCTGTACGCGGGGCGTAGTGGCACATTGGATTCGAGGGGCTCGGGGGCGTACGCGCAGCGTACCAAGAGGTACGCCCAGCGTACGTGGGCAGATGCCAAACCCTAATTTTTAGGGTTTAAGACATATAAATACCCCATTATAGCCTCCCATCTAGCCTCCACACCAGTCCCTCACCCTCAGAAAACCCTAGTTCGCCTCATACTCCATTGTTATGTGTGCTTGACCTTTTTGAGTTCATTTTTGTGAAGAAAGGCTTGGAAGAAGTGAAGAGAAGTTGGAGGAGAAGCACTTGAGTATCTTGAGCTCAAGGATCTGGAACAAGTTCATCTTTTGGCACCCAAAGGAGGTATAAAGCTCCTACCTTTCCTCTTAGAAGTATGGATCTAGGGTTTTGAAGCTTTGGACCTTTTAGGTCCAAAGAATGGATCTTGTTCATGCAACTTCGTTTTTGAGCTTAGGGTTGCCACCCTTGAAGCTCAAAGTGTCCCTTAAGCATTAAAGTTGCAAGCTTTGAAGCTTTTATGTAGCCATGCATGAGATCTAGCCATTTCCATGGAAGTTTATTGTTATTTTTAGAGTTGGGTTCATTTGGTGGGTTGCAAGCCATCAAGTGATCGACTTTATGGGTTAGGATGAAGTATTGGACTCAGATCTGTAGTTTGGACGTAGTGTATTAAAGGATTAATCAGTTTTTGAGAAAATGGATTAACAGGAGAGTATGCTGGGCGTACACGCCAGTACGCATAGCGTACAAGCCATTCAAGCAGTACGCGCAGTGTACAGAAGGGTACGCTCAACGTACACTCAGACAGTGGGCTTTATGTTATTAGGCCTTGGTTTGGGCCAGGCTTTGGATATAGCAGTAATTGGGCCGAGATGGGCCTTCAGAAGTCAGTCAAGGGCCCAAGGACTTTTTGGGCTTGGGAGGAAAAGCCCATTTGAGAAGTTGGGCCCAATTTAGAAAATTGGGCCATTAGTGGGCCTTAGTGGGCCATGAGTGGACTTATAAGGATTAGTTGGAATTGGGTCATGGATATGGCCCAAAGTTAGAGCAGGGGTAAAATGGTCATTTTTCCCTTAGTGGGATTCTCAGTGTTTAACTAAGTGTTTATTTGGTCATAATAGCCGGAGTGTAGTTGGAGCAGCAGACAGAGTTACCTTGCACGAGTTCTCAGCAGCCAGATTGAGAGGTGAGTTTCTCTCCAGTAGGAACGGGTCTAAGGCCACAATGCCGGCCCGTTTAGATGTTAGTAGTTCCGGACTTCGGTCTGATGTCGGGGCGGTCCCGAGAAGAGTATATGTATGCTTGATGTCTTTGTGATTCATACATGTTATGTGTTATGTGTTCCGGGGAAAGCCTGATGTATGTTAGCTTAACTGTTATATGTTATGTGTTCCGGGGTAAGCCCGATGCCGGGGCAAGCCCGATGTATGTTAGCTTATCTGTTATATGTTATGTGTTCCGGGTTTTGGCCCGATGATGGGGTAAGCCCGATGCAGTTTATGAAGGGTTTTGAGCATTCTAGCACTCCTAAGGTGTACATGCAACCTTAGAAACCTTGGATCTATGTTTGACTAAGATACATGCAAATTTGATTTTCCAAGGTTCTTCAACTATCTAACATAGCATGGGGAACTTTTAAACATAAATGCTAAAAGAAGAACATACCTTTTGTAGTTTGGATTCCTTGAGAACCTTGTGAGCCTAGCACCTCAAGTGTGATGCCTCAAATGTCTCACACAAAACTACAACTCTTGGAATAGACTTGAGAGAAGTTCACTAACACCTCAAAATCGGATAGCCTTCTTGTTCTTCACTTAGTGACGATTTTGCTTGCCTTGGAGCTTCTTATATAGTTGTGGCACAAGTAGGGTTACACCATGTAAACCCTAATTGTCATG